GGCTACGAACCCGTTTACATGATGTGTTTAAAGTTGGCATGTTCATTTGGATTAAGATGTCACAATACTTCTTGCTAATTCGGAAGCAATATTGTCCTTTGCGTATTAGAACAACTGATTACTGACATATAAACGTTCCTTTAATTGAAAGCCCGACTGATTTTAAAATGAAAATTTTCCTCCTAAAATAAGCCCCTTTGAATAAACCCCTCGAAAACAAATTCCGGTGAAAACTATAAACTACAATCCCCTATTTTCGATTTTCTCTTTGTTCTTATGCTACTTGAGGTGCGTTAGTTGGTTATAAAGATGCCATACCACTTCCCAAGGGTGATTCACTTCCAGCAGATTCCCAGCGCCTTCTCTTTGCGGACAGAACATGGTGGAAGGTTTGTTCTGCGTGCATCTGATTGGTGGGATGTAAAAACACCATACCATCCTCTCGTGAAGTTTCTGCAATGCTTGCTCCTTGCAAGGACGCACTATGCGACTGTAATGACAGCAGATGAAGAGGAGCTATGGAGAATATAATAGAAAGACAAGTCTGATTCATTTATGTGTATATAAAGTCCAAGTAAGTACAGTATATGTAAATCCAGCGATAGGAAACGTGATGTTTAAAAAAATACTTCAAAACTTCAAACGCAAATAGAACGTTCTGAGTCTCCGTCTCCCTTGGTTTTTGTTTTAGTGCAAAAACAACGACAACCGACATAATTTTCTTTTTTTAAGGAACACATCAGCAGAAATACCGGTACGATGGCGATTTTACTGAATTACTTACACTACTATTTATTATAGCTTTTTGCTTGAAACAGCAATTGTCTAGTTGTCTTGACTATCCTGTTCACAATCTATTGCCGGCAATGGACAAACGGTACAACTAGTATACAGAGGAGCAATATCCCGCAAATTATTCCCGCTGTAACATCAGTAAAGCCACTGTATTTCGTTGTTGTTACCTGATGAAGCAGCAGTCCTTGACATTTCGCTATTTACATCAGCATCACCTGATGTATAGGGAGGAGGAATGTATGGTCCTGCCAATGGAAATGTTCTTTTTCTTCCTTCCACTGAAAAAAAAAAATTGAAGAGAGAAAATTTACAAAAGTTCTTGCAGGTCCTGCGGAATTCTGTTCAAGTACGGCCTAAGTAAGTGATCAGTGAAGCAGACTATTGGGCACTTGATTTCGTATTTATTTGTACATGTAGTTACAGTAAATACCCGCGAATAAGAATCTTGTTTTTAAGAACCTTTTAGGCTAAGATTTGCGAGTTAGGCCCCCCTATAAAATAACCTGTTGAGGCTATAATTTGAGATTAAGCTGAATACCACAAAATACTCTTAGCTACAATGATTTTTTTACTTCCGAAAATAAGAACCTATTTAAGAACCTAAATAGCCTAAATTTGTGCTAATTACCATGCATGTAAGAACCAGTCTTACTCTAGTCTATTATAAGCTACCTTGGAAAAATGTAAGTTATTACTCGCGTTTTTTTTTTTACTGTTTTATTTATTATCTTACAAAAAAATTGCTGCAGGCTTAACGAAGGGTAAACAAAAGTGTTCAAGGTCTTAAGAGTTGCAAAGGCTGTCAACAAAATCCATAGTCACTACATTAACCAATAATCAGTTCCACAAAACGGTGTCCAGTTTCTCCAGGTAGAGTTAACATTGTGAGACCATTTAAACTCACAATATTGTTCTCTGTGTTAGAGAGGTGAAGGAAATAAGGCGAGCATTACATGTATTAACACTAATTTTTTACTTTGCAATAACAATGGAACATAGCTTGAAGCAGCTTACATAGGGAAATAATTTTACACGCCTGTTCAGGAATCAGTTCAGGGATTCATGAAACCACCTACCTTTCCAGGGGATAAGTGGTCCTTTACGAATCCTTCCAGTGGGTTCTCTGACTATATAGTACTTCAAATGCTTTTGTTTCTTTGGTTGTGTGGCCAGCTTTAGATTAATATGACTTGAAAATTCAGTAAAGTATCTGAAGCCTTTTGCTCCACAGCCAATGCAGTTTCCACTGAACCCTAGCATTGTAACATTGTTCTTCTCATCTGGTAGAAATCTTCTGTCTACTTCAGCCACTAACACCATTCCAGGAAGCATTGGAGATTTAGCCCCAACCAGTAAAAAGCCTTCTGAGGCTTGGACCTGTTTACTACTCAGATGAGAAAGTCGTAGTTCACCACCAGCCTGACACAAACCTACAAATAATAAAAAAGACCACTACTTTATTAGGAAACAGTAACTGTAATATACTTGTAACTTCAAACTGAAGTACAAGCAGGCACATATACATGTAGCTTTATAACTACAAGTAGTACCTGGCAATAATCATTAGTAAACTTAAGAAAAGTTAGTTTCAATAGAAACCGTTGTTCTGTGAAACTGCAGAAACAAAAATTTAGTTTTATCAGTTTGACTAAGTATGGTAAAGCAAATTTGCCACACCAAAGAAGAGACGTTCTAATGTTTTCTGCTACTGTAATGAACATCCAGATCTTTTTGTAATTTGTACAAAAACCTTGAATTGGATCCCTAAATCAATAGTTCACTACTTAAACTTTAATATCAAATAAACAAAATAAATTATGATTAACAAAGAAGTATACTACTTGTGAAGGACAGATTAACATGTATGCTTAATATTTTCTACAACAGAGATCTCTTGCAGTTTTTATGGTTGCAGTTGTGAGCCTCAGAATGAAATCTTCTGACAGCAAGTTAAACATACATTTTTATAGAGATGAGAACTTAGCAATTGGAATGAGGGTTTAGAATTATAGTCTTTGCCAAGAGCTTCTTACTGGTTACGTAGCTTGCCAATCAGGCATCAAGAGAACTGGGATCAGATCAACCCCTCAAGCTCACTTATTGATAAAAGGTTCTGTGCACTTGGTTGATCCAATTCCAGTCAGATGCAAGTCTTGTCAATAGACCATGACTTCTGAATTTTTAATTTCTGTACAATGTAGCTAATTTACTATTAATACAATGTACCCTTTTAGGCCACTGCCTACCATAATTTTTGTTCACTCTACAGTATTTGACATTAGTTTCTGACAATCTCTCCTTGTTTCCCACATGAAAAACTGATTTAACGTATGATAGTTGTTAATAATAATTTTGAGCAATAAAATAAGAGCATGGGAGATTTTATCCATCACGTACAATGAAAATCTTGATCTGACCTATATTTTACAGCTTACAGTGATTGTGCACCCATTGCTATCTGATGCTCCAACATTGTATACCTAAATCAACACTCAAGTGATCACAGTTATACATTTGTTGGAAACTCATACAGAGTAACCCACTGTGTAAAAAAGTGAGAAACAAACAGGAGTCATTTTAGAAACTAGGTTTAGGATTTTCATTGATGAAGTGAGTGTTTTTTAAGAACTTCTATGAGTCACATAATGCCAGTCACCCGTTGCTATCAGATGCTTCAACTTTGTATAGCTAAATCAACACTGAAAGTAATCATAGTTTTGCATTTGTTGGAAACTCGTACAGAGGAACTTATCTGTAAAAAAGTGAGGAACATACAGGCTGGAGCAATTTCAGTAACTAGGTTTATACCTTATTATTATCATTATTATTCTGACATGTACCTGGTGTTGTACAAATGGGTCCAGATTGTACAGGTCTGCTATGCATACCAGCTGATAGTGTTGATCGCACAGGCTCCTGATTCATTGAATGTGACCCAGCATAAGAAGAACTTCTCATTCTACTGTGCCCTTCTTCTTCATCACTGCTGGGCCTCGCATCACTTGACATGTCTCCATGGCCAGTTTGGTTGATGGACATGGGAGGTGTGTGCGGTACCTGCATTAGTCTGGGAGAGTCTGACAAGAGCAGAGAACAAATTTGCATCCAACTTTCTTTCTCTTAAAATACACCCTTAAGCCACATGTTTTTTTGCTAGCTCAGATTAAACTTTCAGCAACAACTAATAATTCAAATTGTTGTGAAAAACAGTGATAGAGAGGAATGGCAGATAGTTATATTTATTCAATTTCCTGCCATTTAATAAAAGTTATATAGCCTTATGCTTAGACATAAAACTTTGACAATGTTTTAGGTCTCCAAAAAATTCATTGGATATCTTAAGTATCACAGTTTTGTTTGATAAACAATTCTTTTATATGGACCTGATTTTCTTCACCAAGTCATCTACACTTAGGTTTCCATGTCTGTGCTTACAGAACCAAACTGTTGGTCTCACCATTTGGCTAGAGCAAAATAATGACTACCATTAATTACTGTTACCCCCCTATGATTTAATTATAAGTAAGCACAAGCGGCCTTTATATTGGGTGTCCTATTATTATGATTGTTAAGAAAAGTTCAAGCCTTTGAACAGTTCTTGTTAACTTCCTAAAAACAAGAACAGCCCAAAGGCAATGGCACTGGCATTTCAAACATGCTGATGGTTTTTCAAAAAAATAAATTCATTTTCAATTAAGAATTTTATAGAGTGCCAGTAATAATATGTTAACAGATACTGTTAATTACTTCATGTGCCAAAGAAACATTAAGCTGTAGTTTAAGTCCTATGAAAAGAATTGTCAGTGGCATTATTAGTGAGAATAGGACAGAATAGCTGCAAATAGTTGCAAAGATAATTTAATTATTAATTTATTATCAACAACCTTACTGTACAATTGCAAGCAAATATGAGTTCACAAAATAAGGCATTTGGGTTGGAATTACAAAAAAAAAGAGAATAAAAAAAGATGATCCCAATATAATCACATTAAATAAGTTCTATCGAACTGCTTAATGGCTTTAGAATATTCAAGTTAACTATTTGAACTCCTATCCATTAGGTAGAGTGTTATATTGGTGAGTAGATTAGAGTGGTAAGGACATTAGTGAGATATATTGGATTAAGAGACAAGGGCATACATGCAATCTAGAACACCTGAGAACAATGCTGTAATTTGATCAGTCTGAGCACATATTTTAGCCAGGCTAGTCAGAATATAAAACTGTTTCAAACTACCCATACATGTACTTGGTAAGGTGCTATGAACATCAAATTTACAACATGAATTTTTCATTGTAGCTTTTAAAATATGTACCAAATTTTCTTATTTTCAAGACATACCAAATAATGGCAAAAACTCTGTAAGAATTACATCTTGTGTACTAACATCTCTCAAAGTACTGTAAGTCAGCCACACTTCCATTTACCTGCCTCAGGCCTGAAGAATTATGCTTCAAAGTGTACATTAATTTTCATGTATAACAGTTGAAGACTGGTAAAACATCACAACACTGAATACAGTGTAAGAAGATGTAGATAGACAAAGCCCCCCAAAAAGTGGATACAAGTAACGTTGGCATGCAGAGTCTATATCATAAGCAGATCAATTAATAGTGCTTCCTGAAGTAGCCAATATATCTTCACTGAAGACAATGGAAAAAAAACTGATACATCCATGAAAAAGATAAGAGTGAGAAGTAACTTACAATAGAGCACTGAGTACCTTATGAGTACTTTGACAGTGAATGTATTCTCAAATTATTTTAATCAACAATGTTGTAGACAGCATTTATGTGCAGTATGTGGTCTATATGTGATTGCAGCAATGGGACTTAATAGTATTGAGGCATTATAAACATTGGTGGGCAGATATCCCGTTTGATGTTACAAAATTGGCACAGCAGCAAACATCTGTATACTAAGTTGAAAGTAGTCAGTATTGGATACATTGAATGGTGGCACGTGCAGTTATTGTGTCATGCGAGAAAAGGTATAAAAACATTGTTCAACAGATACAACTACTTCGGTCATGTGTTTTCACAAATCCTGCATCTAGTAACCTTTAAGTTGATAAGTGTCCAACTTTAAGCAAAGATATGCACTGAACTCTTAAAATTTCCAAGTGTCTTAAAAGCTATTAGCAGCTGGCTGATTGTTTTCAAGGATGGGTGGGACAGGTGAATGAATCTTATATCAATATTACAAAACAATTCAATATCATTGCCCCTAGTCATGGCACATTCCTAACTTTAATTTAGAATTGATTCCCATATGTGTACTTTCAAAGGTTCATGTGCAAGTACACGTACAAGGTGTTACTTACATTTTGTCTCTTTACTGAACCATTCCATAAGAATAATCCCAGTGACTTCTACATCATTACCAAGATTTTACCAATATTGTACACAGCATATCTACGTTGTATCATTTTAACAATCACAATTTTGACTGGAAACAGATCTATTTAAACCGATATTAGGGCAAAAACAAGCAATAATTCCCAAATAGTTAAGATTTTTGTTACCATAAAGTGAATGCTATAAATTAAAATAAAATTATGAACATTAATGGGGTAAAACATTGGGAAACCCTCTCCTTAAGATTTGCAGCTGATCACAGAAATATTAATGAAAGGCAGTTTAAGCTAATATACACAGTTGTACAGTTGAACCTCCACAATATGGACACCAAAGGGAATATGGACCCAACTATCTACAATACAGAGCTACGTATGGCTGCTTTGGCACCCAGAAAACTGTTCGTTTTTGGAGAGGAACTGGCATTTAAGACACTTCACACTTACACAACTTCAGTCTTCAGTGTAAGACATTAAAATAATACTAAGCACTGCTGCTATGGTGAAAAGAGAGTGGTAAAAAAGGACCACTGATGCTGCTCGTGTTCATGGCTCTATCTCTGCTGCCACTCCAACAATCAGTTAGTCCGCAATTCATTACACATATGAACAAAATACTCATCTTGTATTGTACATGGAATCTTTACAGTACATTGTAATGTATACCGTACTGACAGCTGATAGTAGCTCAGCCCTTTTCAATGTGATAAAGTTTGTTTGCTTACCCTCCCACTTTTCTATGTTCAGTTATACAAGTCAACTGCTTTTTCCTGCAAAAAGCTGAACCTTTTCATGGCTCAGATAGCAGTTTACAGTCTGTAGAAAAATGGCAGTCCTGACGATCTCCAACTCCAGTATGTGATCTAAAAAACAGTGTTTCTGCATTAATCGATGTTAGTGCTCCAAAAAAAAAGAACGTAAGTGGACTACTGGCATTCTGCATTTGTTGTTGTTATTTTTGTTTCACTAGTGAGACGAGACGAAAGTAGTTTCACCTTCACATCAACTCCTGATTATCATCCTTGAGTGGTATTGCATTATTTTGAATTCTGGGAACACACTTACTACCGGTATACTGTAGCTTTCACATTTACGTATTACGAGACTCTGTCATTGCCTGGTTATGATTTCTCCCTCATCTTGTAAGCTTTGTTTTGTTTCACATTTTTTGCCACCTTAGATGATTCTGGTTTCACTTCTACACCCCTTCTTCTGGGGTTTTCATCCTTTGATCCCACTATTCTGATTTCTAAAAATGGACATTCATGTTTATGCATTTTTCAGCCACTCAGGGCTCCACGGAGCATCGGGCCATCACTCTGTCTGTGCTTTCTTAGGATACATGTACCTAATTATGTATCTTCGACCATCATCTAGCTGGTTTTCTTGGGATTATTTCATTTGGTCTACGAGGATTTTCTTACTTAACTTTAACTGGGGAGTGAGCCTCTTTCATCACATTACTAGCTGGTCGGGAGTCACAACCCAGGCAGGCAGCCTTGTGCTGAGAGGCCCCAGGGTCGGTAAGGAACTTACATAACTTATTACATGTAGCTTTGCCTTGCTTGATATCATTGTATGTTTGCTGCTGGATTCTGCTCCCACTCCTCCCTGACCCACAGATACTGCAGTTAAGTACGAATTGTGGCAATTGTATTCCACTGAAATTGTTCAGAGTGATGGTGTTGCATGGTTTGTGCACACATTGTTACCATAGTTACCTCCAAGGTAATGGTGCCTTTTGCGCTCATGGGACTCATTTTTCAAGAGTCCACGTCAGTACCATTATAAGTTTTCGGCCCAAAACTCATTTCATTCACGGGTTAAGATGAACTCAACAAATTGGCCGGTTCCCAATGCATGGGTTTTCATAGCTCAATAATTGGTTAGAGCACTGCAGCGCTGACGCATAGACCATGGGTTCAAATCCCATTGAAGTTCTGAAATGTTTTGGGGGTTAATCTGCAATTGCTTAAATTGCAATTACCACTGCCACAATCATTAATCTTCATTTAAAACAAAAAGTTACTGTTATTTACATTTCAGATATGGGTTTCGATAGTTTTGCAGATAACAATAAAACTATCAGTTAACAAACAAATTGGGCCGTTAGCCAGGACCTAAGCTTTCATTCAATTTTTGAAATGAATATTTGAGTTTTGCACCTGAAAACATACCAGGACTTTTGAGAAATGGGCCCCAGGTCCTTCCACCCTTAAGGCACCTGCTTACAAGCCCACCTTGTTGATGAGTTGAATTACTAGTGCAAGCAATTTGGTGTAAAAGTGGCCTTAGGGATCAGCACATTGGACTTGAATTCAGCCAGTCCTGGGCTAGAGACTAGTTGCTCGGATCACCTGCTGGATTTGCTGTTGGTCATCCCATGTTCAAATCCTTGGTCATTCATGAATGTAAATTAATAGCAAACTGGTTGCTACATACAACTTCAGTTGGGGTTTTCAATCCTGTTACACTGTACATTATACTAATTATGTGCCATAAACTGCTGCTTATAATAAGCCCTAGGCTTACATATTTGTTTACATCTTCAAAAGGGGTTTTAGGAAGGCTCCTAAATGTAGGGGCGTATATCTGAGGGGGCTTAAAACTGAAACAGAAAAAGCACTTTGACACAAACTATTGTAGCAGTGTTGATCAAAATACGTTTTGCATTTACTGGTTTTTAATTAAGCTTTTAAGTGTCATCAGTGTTCCAGCCAGAAAATTCTACTTGAGGGCCAAAGTGGCCGCTACAACCAATTCTTGGGGGCCAGATTTTTCTAAAAAAGGGCCAATGTACATGTACCAGTATCTTTCTAATTAGAGAAGGAGAAGAAACAGTTGGAAAGTTAAGAAAATGAAAATGGCAGTTTATAATGTGAGATCAGGCCCAATTTTAGCAGTTCTCATACATTCTCTCTTACGTGCTCCCGCTAAAAGTTGGACCTGATACAAACTCTCACAAGCTTGTTGTGCTTTCGGCCAGATTTTGGCAACAAAAGTGATTGGCTGTTAGAACAATGCCACAGGATCTGATTGGCGGTTGGAGTCACCGAAAGTCGAAAGTGCTTAATCCTCACATGGCTGAAGCACTCAAAAATCTTCGTGAATGATCCACCATCAGCCGACAGAAGGATTTTGCAGAACATTCAAATGGTTGTTCATATCTTCTCAGGATTTGCTTTAATTATGGAACTAATGTGAGTGTAGTGCAGAGTTGAATCCCTCTGCAGGTTGTTGACCGCAAACAAGGTGTCTTTTGATTTGCCAACAAACGAGTGCAAATCATGTCCATCTTAAAATTGGTTTCACTTGAAAGTTTAGCCGGGAATGACTTCTCTGAATGGGGCATGCAAGCGAAGGCTCACCGCAAAAGAAACCTCAATTGCCAACTATGAAGAAAAGTGGGCGGCAGACGTTTCATAGAAGGTTTGTATCAGGCTCTCTTTTTGTTTCACCTTGCCTGCCGAAATGTTATTTACAAAGTGAAATGAAAGTAGAGCCTGATCACAGGTTAGTGGGCCTATAACTTGGGGCTTGGGGGCTTTAGCGTCAGTTTACATATTTCTTTTGTTTCATTTGAATTTGATTATTTTAGTGGAGTGCCTGTAAACTGCCTACAGTAGCTAGGTATTAAATGCACTTCCATGAGACACAAAGCATTTACTATTAGCAGATGTTTGTCGACACTCATGAATTTGTAATCTGTACTGACTTGAAAACATGGAATGAATATAAGTTAAAAACATCTTGCTAGTATTAAAGAAATAGAACCACTATGTTAAGAAAAAAAATACAATGTTCAAAAGGCTTTTTATATACAATGTCACTACATGTATAAGTTGGTTACTATTGCTTTTTACAGAAAAAGTTATAATTGTTTTGAGTAAAAAAACCCAACTCTATTATCTACCTATCTCTATCAAGGTTTGTTTGCTTGTTTAACAATCTTGTTAATAAAAAATTCTGAAGATGTCTTAGGGTAACTAGATTTTACCATTCGGATGATAAAAAAATTTGTTCACTGCCACTTGGTACCCACCAGCAAACAAACAAATAGCAATAAAAAAATCACAAGCCTTAAGGGAATACGGAGGTAAAGGAAACAATGATCAAGTTCAAACCTGATCAAGTTTATATCAAAATGAAAATAAAATACTGACGTGCCATGCATCACATGTCCTTGAAAACATTTCAAAACATCAGAAACATTTAAAACAGCGCCGTGAATTATGCTAGTTTTAATCGTGCAACAAAGAGCCCCAGGAAATTTTAAAAGAGGCTTAAATGATTGAACTGCACATATATTTATCTACGAAGTGAAACTGAATCAACAATAATTTTGTAGCTAGCCCGGTGAGAGACAAAGGGTTTCCAATAAGCATCAACAACCAACAAAAAGCGTCAGCTGTTTGCTCAGGGAAGTTGGTTACTTTTATTATGCCAGAAGAAGCAAGTAGTTTTGATTAACAACAAATATATCATTAAATCTTAATGACAATGTAATTATGATGTGTTAAACTAATCCAAAAGAACCCTTCGATTTACATTTACATGTATCTTAAGCTTTAATAGTTAGTTCTGTGAATGCTGTATTTCAGTTAATTTTTCACAAGTTTCTCATTTTATATAGATAGTTTTGCATAATTTGTTCAAGTGCATTAATGTACTTTTCATTTGTAAATAAAAAGAAGTTGATTGTGTGGCCGGTAAATGGAAGCTACTTTTCGTAAATGAGAACATGCTCTTTTTGTCCAGCACGCTGGAAATTGCATTATAGGGCTTTCAAATTCTTAAATTTTCTGGGGGAGCAGGCCCCCAGACCCCCCCCCCCCCCCCCCCACACGACCCCTCTTCGTCTAAATCTGTTCCCTCACTCCATACTATATTTATTTTGATTTCTTTTTGAAATTTTAACCCCCCCCCCCCACCCCTAAAAAAGTGCCTTGTTTTGATACAATCGGTTACTCTACTTCAATAATATTGTTATTGAAATCCCTGTAGAAATGATCATTCTATTTTTCCCAAAAATATGACTGATATTCAAAGTAGGATTTGAGGTCGAGAGATCATTGTTCATCCCTTTACAGATTTGTGCCAAAGATGAAAGTTGTCAAATACAAGCAGTCTACGTGTAAAATTTTACCCTCAGTTTCCAAAAATTGCCTGTACTTTCTTGTCTATTTTTTCACATGCCTGTTTCGCGCATGTATTTCTTGTGTTATTTTCATGCAATATGGTGGTTAAATATGCAATAAACAAGCATTTAATGCTGTAATTCCCATAGCCCGTACTGTAGAAACGTCTCTTTTGGACCACATAAATTTGTCTACTTACCACTGGGATGCCCGTCAGTAGAACAAGTCCTGGAAGTTGGAGGCATTCCTGGAACATGAACAATTACAGTGTCAGGAGGGATTTCCATTACTGAAGAGGAAGTACTGATGGGTGTGTTGTCATAGTGATGTGACCTATCATAATGGACCCCTTGTGAAGTAGACAGCCTGGTACTGACTCGCCTGGGTGGCCACAGTGACCGATGTTTGTTGCGATATCGATGGTCTGACATGGTTTTGTCCTGTGCCCATCACTGTATGCAAGCATCTACATACAGTACTTTGCCAAAATACTAAGTGGAAAAGAGAAATTTTTATTTATTTATTTTTATTTTATTATCATTTTGCCATTCAAGCTAAATATATACATAAAATTAAAAAATATCAGGCAAGTGAGCCCAAGGAAGCCAATAAGGCTAATTAAAAGGACCAACTTTAAAAATATATGACCTAATTAATAAATAAAAATACTGGCATGGGCAAGACAATTTAACTACAGCTGTCATCACATATGTATACAGATTCTTTGCAACATAGAAAGTAATCATTAAATAGGATAAAAATAGATAAGGTTGAATGTACAAGTGTAAAAATGAAAAAGAGGAAGTGAGAAAACATAAATATGCAAGAACATACCAGAAAAAAAAGGGGAAAGAAGTGAAAACTGCACACAAGTATTAAGAGAAGTTAAGCATGCTTATACCAAGAAAAATGACTTTAGTTTTAAGTGAACACATTAATACTACTGAAGGCATTCTGAATTTCAGAGCGTAAGGGAATTAAATATTTTGAGTCCTTGAAAATGAAGTGAAAATTTCCTTACATTTATCCTACAGTAGGGCAAATGGAAGGTGTTCTTACTTCTAGTGTTATAATTAACAATATGAATGTACGTCACAGTTACAAATGTAAGTAAAAACATGTCATTGAAACTATCAGGAAGAAGGCCATTTTTGTAAAGATACATTAACTTTACCTATTTGAAGTTTGATGATCTTCAAATTTTAGAATTTGTAAGCTCACAAAAATAGGATTGGTATGTGCATCAAAAGAACTCCTGGAATTTATTCTGACTAATAACCTGTTTTTGAAGAGCAGTCAAACGTTTCAGATTTGACTGATAGGATGAGCCCCAAACACTCACACAGTAATATAAATAAGGATAAACTAAACTATAATAGAGAGTACATAAGGAGGTCTTATTAAGACAGAAACTCAATTTGTAAATAATGCCCAGACTGATTTTGAGACTGTTCTTGCTACGTCCTGTATTTGAGATTTCCATGATAAGTGTTCGTCAAGTATAACTCCTAAAAACAAAACTTCATTTACACGATAAATTTCAATATCATAAATTGAAAGTCAAGTTTTTGCCTGTTTTGAATAAAATAAAATTTCACTTTTTTTTATGTAATAGAAAGCTTATTGGCCTGAAACAAGCTTGATAGTTTCTTCAATTTGGTATTCACAATTTCCATCAGTTGATTTGGGTCTTTATGAGAAAAAATATATATGTTAGTATCATTGGCAAAACTATCAAGAGCATGAAATTTAAAGCCTTTGACACATTACACAAGTCATTGATGTATAACAAAAACAATAATGGACCTATAAATCAACCCTTGAGGCAAGTGCTCCACATTAATTTTAACGTCTTTAAAGGAGGAATTATAAAGCCATTTTACTATACAAATTAAGTTCTACAAGAAAGATAAAAAAACTTTTGAACCAAGTGTAATGCAACACTGCAAACTCCTTAAAACTCTAGTTTATCAAGTAGGATATCATGGTTTACAGTGTCGAAGACCTTGCTCTCGTCATGAGGTTGTATTATGCTTGTATTATGATGTTGGTCATAATATAACAAACACTTAAACATTTTGATACAAGTATTACACTGCAGGTTACAGACTGAGTTAAGGTGGCTCGGCTGGATTTTTTAGGAAATTACGTGCACAAACTGTAACAAAAGCAGCTGAATGCAGGTTAACAAAATTCTTCTAACCCGCGATCGCCTAGAGCAATTCCCCTCTTTTTTTGTACACAGTTTTCAAGGGAGTCAAACCACTATGAGATGAAGCTGCGTTTCCAAAGCTTATCATTTTCTTAAAATATTAGCTCATTATGTGGATAGCATGCTATTTCACTGTTTTTATGATTCTTAAAACTTTGTTTCAAAATATTTCCAAAATGCTCTCATAGAATTTGCTCAAACTTTGCCATAATTGCCTCAACTCCCTTGAGCAATTTTAAAAAAACCTCCTAGTACAAAGAAACACAAAGATAAATAAAATTGTAATGGTGTCATTACATTGCTATGGTGACTTCCATTGCAATAAAACCCACATCATAAGAAATTTTCATCTTTTTATATAATACAGCTGTGGTAACTTTTTTCCCATATCTTTACTGATGCTGGCATAGTTAATGCTCAAACTTGGTAGGTATCCCCCCTAAAAAATCCAGTGGAGCCATCTTCATGACAGACCGAGACAAAAGAACTATACTGCACGCTGCTCAAATAGTTTGCATTACTGTAGAATACACATGAAAAAGAACTAGAGGAAGGTTTAGGAATTATTGGAGTCAAATGAAAGCATTATTGTTAACATAATAATAATGATTTAACTCAAATTTTATGTTATTATTGTCAAGATACTTCAACTTAAGGTTTAACTCTGAGTTACAAAATTTGTGTGTATGTTTTATTGTAACAATCTCATCACAAGACAAAGTATGTTACTCTGTGGGTACCTTAGCCAGGGTACTGACGCATCTGATCCAATAAAGTGCCCATAACCTGAAAATTTTTATTTTTTAATATAAAGACAGTACACATTACTACAAGAGCCTCTGAACAAAAAATTTGCGATTTGAAGAGCAAGAAGTTCTTTCAGTTATATAACATAATAAATTTTTTTACATTGTGGACACTTCAAAAAAAGGATCGATTTTAACAGAACTACATAACCTGGTAACATTTGACACAATTTTTGTTTTAGTAAGTAAGTAACTTTATTTTATCAGGGTAGCCCCTGATTAAATTGGCCCTGATTGTATACTATTTAAAAATTCCTAAGTTATGTACATGATTAAAACAAACAATAATGCTATAAAAAATCTAGCTAGGTCGATATAAAAAGTGCTAAGAGAGAAGAAATTAAAATTATAAGGTAAAATACTTGATCAGCATCTTTTCAATTTAAACTATTTAGACGTGGCACTGTTAACACAATTGGGTAAAGAATTGAAATAAATAGTCCCTTTTGCCCATGTTACATTTCGGCTTTAGTGGGTGCTTGTCGTTGCTTCTCTTAGAGAAATGATTGTGCAAATCTGCATTCCTTGTTACTTGTAAAATATTGTGTAGGATACTTGGGTACCAGATTATTTAAGTTGGAATCCCTGCTGATATTTCTTTTAAGTTAACTGAATCAAATAGGGGAACTCTCAATCTTAGTTGCATCAAAGGTTATAAGGGTAACAGGTGAGAAATTCAAAGCTTTGTATTGCAGTTATTCAAAGATAATGAATTCTGACTGATTTAACAAATTTTACACTTTCTCTTTCCAGTGTAACTTATGAATTCAAAGAAACAATACACCAAATCTGGAGTACACAGAAGTCCATGGTTAGTTTTTAGAACACTTCATTTCTCTCACAGAGGGCCCAACAAATACTTTCAGGGAATAAGTTTGTAATAATTTTTTTACTGTAAGATGCTTTATCATCTGACATGCAAACTTTGAAAATATACTAGGAGCAGTGCAGACTGTCTGCAACATATGTGTACTTCTTACAAATTCATGTGTCTACTGGTCACAAAACACATTGGGAATAGGTGGCAAGGGTCATTATTGTACCTAATTTGAATTGAAAATAGTGGTTATGATGGACCACTTTTTGGACTTCCTATGACAATGGCAATTTTGAGACAAATGTGAAAACTTGTGGCATCACTTTAGGCCATAAGAGGAAAATGAATTCCAAAATTTTCTGGAACTGATCCTCAAAAACTTCCTGACTCTCATATTCCAAAGGCTGGATGGTAAGGGATGTGTGGACATGGGGGAAAATGGACAAAAGTCAGAAGTCGTTCAGCTGTGGGTGGCTGTTGGATTGCATAACATGCCATTTTCTTCCTCTTTGTCAAGGGGGCCAGTGTTAAGCAACACATAATGCCACAAAAAAAGTGAAAAACTACACTAGGAGCATAAGGTAAGGTTGACCCTTGTCTTTCTATCAACATTTGGGATAAGGTGTAACATTTTTTCTTTTTGTGAAGCATAATTTGTCAAACCTAACCGACAACAATTGTTGAGTATTGTTACGCCGCAAAATGTAATATTAACGCAAAATGTAATAAGAATCGCCGCAAAATGTAATACTAACGCAAAATGTAATAACATTGACGCAAAATGTAATAAAATTTTCAACACAAAATGTAATAATCTTTCAACGCAAATTGTAATAACTTTTCTAACACATAATGTAATAATGCAAAATGTAATAATTTCCGAATAACTACGTGCATGCTATTTCAAAATTGGTATTGTGGCTTGCAGTAATCAGTAGCTGATCCAGATCTTCATTTGAATTATTATTATCAATATTGATGTTAATAATAGTAATAATATTTATTTTCTTCTTCTTCTTCTTCTTCTTCTTCTTATTATTATTATTAATGAAATAACGGTTGAAACGTCGTAACACTCTTCCCCAACAAAGGAGGAGGAGCGTTGTGTGACGAGACAAAAATGGCTGCAAGAGCTTGCTGTACTGTACCACAACTGTAGCAACTGAGAGACTTGGTTTAATTTCAGATGTTGAATTTAATTCAGTCAAATAAAATAGCTGTTGTCAAAAACAAGTAATAGAATCAACTTTCAAAGCGTAATTCAAATGCATTTAAAATGTAAGATATCTGTCAAACTTTTTTTCATGAGAACCAGACAACTGTGGCTGTAGCTTACTTTTCCTAAGTTCTCACTTAATAGAGGCTGAATTGTTCTTAATGCTGTTTTTTAGGTTGAAGTTTCCCAGTTTGCAAAGTCAAATCAGTTTGCCTTGTAAGACAGTTGTCGTTTGCCTAGAACAGATAGCGCAAAAATTTTTTAGTTAGCCCAGTAACGCATTTTTGATTGGAGTAGAGCTAAGCTGACGCACAAAAATATTGAATTTGCCTGGCAAGGCAGTTGTGGTTAGAAGACAGGCCATCCTCTTTTTCTTTCTCCGTTTAGTATCGTCCGACCGACCCAAATTTTTGGCATTTTCAAAAAAAAAAGTAATGACGTAGTTAAATAATTTTTCACTTGAAATAATTCTTTTAATCTGAAAAATGAGCATAGTAATAGCATAGAGAAAAACAGGAACAAAGACATGAATATTTTTTACAGTATATTGTGCATTTTGTTAATCCAAATATGTGAATGTTAACTTTTAATGTCGTCCTGGGGTACCAGGGCCTCCTATTCCGAGACTTCATAAGAGTTTTTTCTTAGTTTTTTTTTTTTCAATCCAACTGACCCACTCAATATCAGGAAACGCATTCGATGCTAAACGAAACCTTGAATTTGCTCAGTAATGCAATCGCCATTGGCTTAGAGTTGACGGCACCAAATCTTGAACTGGGAAATCCATAAAAAGTGCTCAATTTCGTCCTTTTAGGGCCGACCATTTTTGACCACTTGAGGAGAAGGGTGTATGGGTAATTTGGTTTGGGTTAGAATTTTTGGATAATAATGGGAAACTATCAACGGATTTTGAAATAGCATGCACGTCGTTATTCGGAAATTATTACATTTTGCGTTATTATATTATGCGTTAGAAAAGTTATTACAATTTGCGTTGAAAGATTATTACATTCTGCGTTGAAAATTTTTTTACATTTTACGTCAATGTTATTACAGTTTGCGTTACAATTACATTTTGCGGCGATTCTTATTACATTTTGCGGCGTAACAAGTATTACTTAATGTATGAAATGAAATAGTGCATGTGACATCACACTGCCTTGAACTGTTTGGTTGGTGGAAGAAATTAAGTTTTTTAAAAAACTGAAAATGGACTTCCATGAACTCCTGGGTGTTTTTTCTTTGAATTCCATATTAATATATGAATTCAGTAAGAATTAGTTAAATCGTAGTCTTAAATTTGGATATAAATCATAACCATTGAATTTCCAGCCGTCAGGGGCACCCAACGTCAATTTTCAGAAAATATCTGTTCGGAAGACAATTTGAGATCTAGAATTTTTTGAACATTTTTTGTAAAACTTCTTGCTTGCCTACCTCTCCTAGGATTTTCGAACATCTATAAATTTGTATAATTGCCCATTTTTAACAGATTTTTACCCTAAAAAGGTCACCTAGAACTTTCGGGAGCCTTTTTTCTCGCTCAAATGTTCGAAAAGGTAAGTTTTGATCCCTATCATTTTCGGATTGCTAGACTTTCAGCTAGGAAATCCGAACAGATGAAAAATTTTTGGGGGATAAAAATATGCCTATATCTACTGTTTAAATACTTAAATACATTTAACAATGCTATGTTTACGTGGTTTTGAGCAATCTCTGCCTGATTTTACCCAGAGGAAACGGCAAGCATGGACTCCTCTAATTAGTGTCATCTTTAACTTCTAGGAAGGCAACGATTAAAAGGGATGAAGTATTTACTACAGGCTTTGCAGTGCAAAATAATTAATTAAATATCGATTTCGTTTCGATGTTGAACTGTAAAAATCAGCTTAATCAGGACTTAATCAGTTGCACGAATCATGCAACTCTTTGTCGTTGAATCCCGTTAAAATTCGGCGGTTTAAAACTACAGAAAATTTGCTTTCTTTTCTGAAGAATTTATCTCGAATCTTCTACTGTGAAATGTCCACTACAGTATAAATGTCCATAATGGATGTTGTTTTGTGAAAAACAATAATATTGTTATAATATGGCGACCGATATCACATCTCGATGTGTTGCTACCCATCACACACGTAGGCTTATGCTGTGTTCAGTTCAATACGTCGAAACTAAAACATCATCATGATTCTTTGCAGTTTTCTTCATTCGAATTCATTGGATCTCCGCGTAACATAGTTCAAACATTGTGCGAGAAATTAAACAAAGCCGTTCACTTAGTCAATTAACGCACTGCTTCAGTGGTCAGGCAGTAAAAAACTCGCGCTAAAGAGTCAGAGGAATTTTAAAAAAGAATAGAAGTATTCCCAAAAGCCTTCTTTATTTCTGGCATTTGATTACATGAAAGAAAATAACTCGTTGTTAGACTACGGTTTGAGAAAATTGCTTGCGTGCGGTCTATCGATCTGACAGTCTAGTGGCGGCCCGCCGGACAGACCAGTGTGAGAGAGCGCGGCCATCAAATTGAGAATCACCAGTTAAAACGCACTTTACAAACAGCTTGAAAGAAAAAAAAAACTTAAAAAGTGCTCAGAAACTTACCTCAGTACTTTAGTTGATATCTTCCTCCACGGCGTAAATCGTAACTGTTATCTTCAGCAAGCAAATGCAAAACGACATATCAAGTCTGGACCAAAGAAAATATATCATGACAAAATACAAAGACGGAGGCTAGTCACGTGACTTCACTCCGGTATAACAAGTTTTGAGGACGAATGTCATGTGATCCTTTGATGATGATCATGGATCAGATCGTCGGGTCGACGATAAAAAACGTTTGACCTAGTTCAAGTAATCGGCTCCTGCCTGGTTTTTCGGTTGACTTGCTCAGCTGGCGGCTTTTTGGTGTGTTTTGTTCTTTTGTGATTCGCAAAGTAAGAGTTACGGCTGCGCGAAAGCTGAACCAAGGTCGGAAAAAAAAAAAACGATAGGCCATGGTTTCTCCACAGGTAGCCCAAGCTCGAAATATGAGCATCGGCGAACATCGGCATTGTTGCGTAACATTAGAAATACAAGTCTTCTAAGACGGACACCTTTGGGACCGGCAGTAAGTGTCCGTCTTAGAGAGATGTCCGTCTTATAGAGAGTCAAATAAAGGGAGTAAGGAAAGCCAGGGACAAACTCTAGGTGTCCATTTTAGGGAGGTGTCCGTCTTATAGAGGTGTCCGTTAAGAGAGAGTAGACTGTATACCGATTTGTGTGGGAAAAAAACCTATCGTTTCTGTAACCTACGAAAATGAAAGGATTTCAATAAAAAAAAACAGCTTACCTTTTAAAATGTGTTACGTCTCTCCTGTGTGGTCCACGGGCCGATTTATGCCGTTTTATGGGTTTTTATGTAAACGGTTTTCTCTCTGATACAAAGGTTTAGAAAACCGTTTACATAAAAACCCATAAAACGGCCATAAATCGGCCCGTGGACCACACGCACAGGAGAGACGTAACACACATTTTAAGTATGGTAAGCTGTTTTTTTTTTATCGAAATCCTTTCATTTTCGTAGGTTACAGAAACGATAGGTTTTTTTCCCACACAAATCCTTATATTTCGAATGTTACGCAACAATGCCGATGCTCGCCAATGCTCATATTTCGAGTAACAGAAACGATCGTTTTTTTCTCCAAACATCAGGTAAGTCATTTTTATTTCTATTTTATCAATAAATGGAACTTAGGACGTATTTTGTTCCAGTTTTCAAACATTCTCTTATAAATTCAAAGTCCAACGAACTCCCACAGAGTTTGGGCCGCCTGTGACCAGACAACTTCTCCCATGCTAACTTGACAACTCCAAGAGCCCTGACAACTCTAAGGCTTCTATTCTGTTTGACATTCTTGGTTATGGAATGTTCCGTAATTAATTCAGCGTTGGCCGAGTAAGACATTTTTCTTATATAAAAAGGCAAGAAATTTAAAATCGTATTTTGAAGAAAAGACGAAGTTTATGTTGGAAGCGGAAAAGGAATCAATGATTTGTGGCAGGACGAGACCACTGATTTGCAATGTAGCAGCAGAAAGTTTTGCTTTCATTACGCATAAAGAGTTTTGTAATGAGCTTGAGCTGTAAATCTCTTTTTAACTGGAAATATGTTCACGATTTGGAACGCAGCCGATAAAAGAGCTCATTTGCTTTAAGTTATTCCCACGTCACTTTCAACCATGATCCGCGGGCCTGAAAGAAATCATTAAAAATGTGGACGGCGTTGGTTGTTTCCTATGCTCTTAAAGAATCTGAAATGTTGACATTATTCCCATGCAGTCAACTATGAAAGCGACTTCAAGGGCTTTGCTGTCAAATCTGTTTGATTCGCACGACTCTTTCTTTTTAGTCAAAACGGCATGATGTCAATGAACAACTACGGTGGCGTTTTTTAGACAATAGAGGGCTTTGGGAAGGTTATTTGAAGGCAATGTTTTGATTGGTCGATCTTAATTGACTCGTCAATATATGACCACAACATTGACGGCGACCAGCGCGCATTTCTATTCGTGACCGTCAGTTCTGTATAAAGTAAGCGCTCGAGGAGTACTGAGAACGTGGGGAAAATTTTACGCCTCGTCGACAGTCAGCCACTTCAGCGTCACATCACGAGTCCCGTGTTATTCATCCGCCACGCTTTGAGTTAAAGCGGATTTCAACACGTTACTTTCACTTCGGTTGGAATAGATTTATAAAGCATATAAACGGGGGACAATCGACCTTTGCAAAGTAAACTCTCGAGTTTCGAAAACTCGCGCCAGACTCTCATTGCACGTTGTTTCTAAGAAGACATACCGGCCTGCGCGAGGATGCGCTACGATCCGACTCTAAACAAGATTAGGAAAGGCAGACAAAGCTGAATAATCCACGATCTAAAGGTAAGAACGGGTTTATAGCAGTTGTTTACATTTCAACTGTGAAATTGACAACGCATTGCTTCTAACAACAGCGAGGGATTTTAGTTTATAGAGAGGCACCGCGAAATGTACTGTTCTTTATTCCTTTCCACGTACCAATATCGCAAATGAAGATATTTTTTATTTTACTTTGAAAGAATGATGGTTAAGCTTTCGTAAATGTGTCATTTTTTGTCTTATTTGGATCTCTTGAAGCGTATAAATCGAACTAGCTGGGACGGTCTTTCTTAGTGAAGAATTAATGGCTGGCACAAAAGTTACTCGAAATATCTATCATATGTGCACCATATAACATAACAACGTCACGTCAATACAATGGCTGTTCGCGCTGAGCTTCCGCTAGCTAGACTGGCTAGAGTCCCGGTGGATTTTGAAGTAGCGTTTTCGAATTTTCTTTTCAAATATTTATCTTTGCATAGTTTATTATACACCTACGACTCGACGGCGAGAAGTTAAAACGAAATGGTAATACCTGCATGATGTTTACGTAAAATGTTTTGATTCAGTCGAGACATTTTCAGCAATTTTATATCTTCATTATCGCTTTTCTTTGAAATTATTAGTCAGTAAATTCCCATAGGAATCGAATCGAGCTGCAAATTTCAACCAAAAATATTTCTCTATCTCGGGAATGATTAGAATAAACTACGACAGGTTTGTTTCTTTTTCGTCACGAAATAATAAGAAATGATTCTTTGATCCTAAGAAACTTGACATTTTTATGTCAGCTTAGTACTTTAAAAATGTATTCCAACACTCTACATCAATATCGATATTTGTTTATTGAAGGTATTCACAAATCTGAGAACTTCTACAGGGAAAATGTAATTTCTGTGACGTTTGATGGCTGTAAGTTTTAATATCCGAAATCATCATAGTTCAAATTGAGCACGAATACATTATTTCTATTTTTATCGATGTTCGTTGGAAGCAGTATTTTATAGTGGTTGAAAAGTTCATCAAATATATCTATCTCAGTTCAGTGGCACATAATATCTGTTCCTTCTCAGTCTAAACCGCGCGTGATTTGGGCTTTTGACGCGACATTTTGTTTTTAGTATAAAATTGGTAGAATCAGTGGTGTATGAGAATCATTGAGAATATTATAAGCTAATTATAAGTCAAAGTGACCATTATTCTTTATCAAAGCTGTTAGGTCAGTCTGTAGCTTTCAAGCAAAGGTCTCTAATAACCTAATGTTGTT